CCACATCACTCCAAATTCCATTAAAAGAATGAGGAGTCTGGTGAACAGCAAATTCCCCAGGTTCAAAGGCACTGTGTACTTGGAACGAGATTTAACACATCAAGAATATAGACGGGTTTCCATCTGGCATAGCTGGGCCTGTTAGCAGTAAAAAAAAAAAAAAAAAAGCATGGAAGTATGACATATTATGTGTGTAGATGAAGTTTCTAACCATCCTCTCACTCTGCATAGACCATTTAGAAGCAGTATCTCCATAACCTGGAGAAAGCAATCCCAGAACTTGAACGTAGTAGATTAGGCATATCCCTATGTCTGAAATTCCTCCAGTAGTAGAAGCAGCATATGCTGAATTACAGCATCATCAATCTCTTTAATAACTTGTTGTAAGGAGGACTCAATGCCTTCAGACTCAGCACACGTTGTGAGTGGTCAGCCAACATTTGCCAGACAAAATGCTAGAAATACAGGAGTAACTCCTCTCTAGTCATACCATTTAAAAAGTGAACAACATTTCAGAGCACTCAGGTCCTCAAATGCTAAAGTCAGCCGATATAAAAGCATGGTTGAATTGCTTACCAGCAAGCATTTGATTTGCAGTACAAGCCGCATACACATCAGAAACAAGCAGTCCTGCATCTCCCCAAAAATGCAATAAAAAAAGCACAGGCTGTGAAAAACTACTCAGGCAAATCACATTGCTACCAAGCTCATTTGGGAGAGCCCATTTCACTTGTTGAGCAACAGCATATGGCTGCTGCTCCATGGTCTGAATGGCATGATGCTGTTGTAGAGCTGATCAGATTGCCTTACATTTCCGCATTGTAAAGGACTTTGTACATATCAGCTGGTCTGGCATCCACAATAAGTGCACATGCAACTTTTGTGTAGGTGCACTTAGTTGCAAGCTTATGGCTGAAATCAGTCCAGACTGGAATCACCTGAGCATGAACAATGTCAACCTCAGCAGTCATAAAAGACAACAGAAGAGATCTCAAACAGCAGTCGTTTGTAGGTGACAAGAGTTTATTTTCTCAAGTACTTTTTCCATGGTGAGACAGTTCTGGACATGTTCTAGGTTTTTCAAATGCTGCACACTGCACAAGAGACTCATTGCCTGGAGAGAGTAAGTGACTTTTCTCTCCAACACTTCAGTGATATTTCTTGTCATGCTGGACTATCTGCAACCTGTTCTTGAAATACCACTCTAGCCTTTCATTGGAAAGTATTCTTTCCATCAATGGCCTCTACGCTGATGTCTATCAAAATCTCATCCATGAAGGAGATGATAATCTGTTAAATACTATGCACTCCGCAACTAAGAGGCATCTTCTTTGAATGTCTTCGGAACTGTTGGCTGAATTATGTGTCTCAATCAACCAACCAAAAGAGACACTTCTGTTCCAACTGGGGCACAAAAGCAGATGACCTCTGACAACTACAATGACCTAGCTTTGAATAATATTCTGAGGCATTCATTTTGGCTATTTCAGACACAAGGATTGAAATGGCATTATACAAAGCTACCTGTTCATTTAAAAGCTGTTCATCAGGCTCACTCGCCAGAAGAACATCTACAAACGATCTCAATGACTTAAGTTCCTGTTTCAGATTACTAGCAGCTTGACTAAAGTCAGCTAGTGTTATTGATCAGGATAGAATAATGATAGGCTTGTTTTGTCCATGCTATTCATGGCATGAAGTTTCAGAAGTTGCATTTTTCTAATCTTGCCTGTAATTTGCTACTGAAATAGCTTGCAGGATCTACATCTAAGAGAAATAGGGATTTATATCTTTGTAGGAGCTTGGAAAGGAGAAGAGCCTTCTTGCTGTACATAAGATCATTGTCTATCTCTTCAATCAGCTGATAAAATGCAATGTCATAAGGTGATTATTGTTGCAGTATAACTAGATGGCTTTGCTTTAAGATTCATTTTACTCAAGTAGGAAGAAAAAGGCATGTTGAGTGATAAACTGCATCCTTAGCAATCAAGTCTTACATAGATATTCCATGAAAAGTCATCTCCTCTTCGAAGTGATGCCTCCCTTAGTTTGGTTGCTCTCTCATATATTTCTATTTTATGATGTTTCTTGTCCATATTGTGTGCTTTGCCTCAGGCCAACAATGCAACAGGAGCAAATGCTGGAGAGTGTGCTTGCTCTGGTGGCTATAGAAGCAGATGAATATGATGCTCTCTGATCGGATTCAGAGTCTATTTTCTTTCCTGGGTTCAGTACAACTCTGACATGTACCAAATTCTACTTGCTTATGTATTTCTGAAAGCAAACCCTATGAAGGCGTATAGGTAGCACATCATCTAAACTAGAAAACTCATCCAGTAGCTGCCAACAGAATTCATCTCTCCTGGCTTCTGCTGCCAGCACCAAGAATTCTGTACAGCACTGGTGGATTTTGACAATTTTACATTCTTTTGATTTTCTTGACAAATAACATTTTTCAAAGTTTGTGGAGAGTCTTTTTCTATTTGATGTAAGCTTTAAGAGCCTTGCATTCACCATATCTTCATATACTGTAACATCCCTGTAGAGGTAAAATTCCCAAAGGATTAGCATTACCACCACCACTTTTCATTTTGTACAAGTATACAAATATATGCTAAGTTAGATATAAACTAGATCTGTTAGTATCAAAATGGCCATTTTTGTTTGGTGAGCACTTTGACTGAAGTCCAATATGAAGCTGTGTATTGTCATCTTTAAATTAACACTGATCTGTGCATAAGTGTCACTGGATTAAAAATCTAGTTTTCAGAATTATTTCAAAGGCTAGTACTGCATGCACAGGCAATGACAAATTAAAGCCATCTGTCAGGCACACTAGATGCTACATTGTATGTACAACAGTTTACAAATGGAGAAGCATTACATTAGGAATTCATGTGCATTTACATGTACACGTAAATGTACATGAATTCCTAATGTAATGCTTCTCCATTATGTAGTACAAACTACGTAGTACATTATATAGTACAAACTATGGGAAACTGATCTGGTCAGCAAGTTTCAACGGAATATATACAAAACTATTATAATCGCTTGGTAGATACTTGGACAATTAAGAATGTGTGATGTGAAAACATTTCATGTTAGCATATTGCAAAATGTGGATATTCGCCATTTTTGCTACATGCATTTTTGCTTCATCATTTCTGGAAAAAAAATACTTGTCCATGCAAAACTAATAAAAATATTTTAATACATTGTCATTTGATAGCTTTAACCAATAAATACCACCTTAAGGTGTTGAAATTAACGTAAACAGTAAAACCTGTAGTCATACTGCAGTGTTTCTGGTACTGTGCAAAAAGAGACACTCACTTTGTTTCACCCTGCCTACAGGCTTACAGTATCACTTTACTGCTCCACATCATACCTCATCTAAATGTATATATAATAAGATTTTAAATTATATAATGATATGGGTGTGTGTAGGGTGGGTACATTAAGCTCCAAAATATGGCCCTTTCTGGAGAACTGCTACATGCTTATCTGCAATAATTACTGTAGCCTGCGAACACCCACATTGCCCTTTCCCAGACCAACAAAAATTCTACAGCTTAGATAACGTTCCTTGCTTATTCTTCTCAACATGTATCTCTCATACTCCCCTTCAAATTCCTCCATTAGCTCTGTGACACAGAGACCCATTGGTACCAACAGGCAAAGGATTCACTGTTCTTTACAAGCAACCGTCTCAGACCAGACAAACTCACTACACCTAATATACAAAACTTTCATGGCATTTATCCAAGCAGGATATCCTGTGAGGTCTCTATTGTAACTTACCAATACTCAATCATTGCGAGATGGGTGTATAATTAATATTTAAGAAATAACATAACTATATTGAAAATTATATCCTTTATGGTCTTGGAGTTAAAATGAGTCACCAGGAAACCATAAGGCTCAGTGCTAGCCCACTGAAGCAGGAGGAAGTTGTTACCTCTCACCGGCTAGCCAATTAAGTAATGTACTGCTCAACTGTCCACTGTTGCAACAGCCCAGAAAGGTCAATGGAAAACCATGAGAGAACCATCAAAACCTGTTGGAGGTAAAAAGGAAACTTAACAGACAGGGGATCTCCCTGTTTGTTAATAAAGACAAAAGACTGATTCAGTATATCACAGGGTGCAGAAAGACACTCTGATTCCATTCACTGAGGAGACATCTTGTTGAGCAGGGTTGTTTCAGGAAAGATTGGATCATGGTTCCTGTACTATGTGTTATACAGGAGTGGTGATTTAAGGTAAAAATGGTAAACTGGGGTGCCCTGCTCCTTTGAGAGCAGAAGGCTCTGGGATTTCTGTGAGTACCAAGTGTCAGGGGCTGGATATCACAGGGGAACGCTTAAAGACGACTCAAGGACTTAGAGGCACTTCTTGTTAACCTGCAAGGCAATGACAGGGCTGGCATAGCCCAGAGGAGAGTGCTTCCATGGCTGAAAGGATAGAGATGTTAGGAAGCTAACACCCAGCCACTATAGGCAAGACTCCCTCTTGTTAGAGGGAGCCCTGTAAACTGTCATAAGTTCCTCTTTATCCATCATATACAATTGCTTGTACTTACTTTCATGGCCCTTCACAGGTCTGCACCTTCCCAATTATCCACCCCACCTCTTAACACACCTAACATCCAACAATACTAGCCTCATCCACTTTGATGGGATCATCTCCATCCTTTATTCTACACTGCCCCTTTACGCATACAATGCCCTCTCTGAACTAGTTTTTAAAGCCACTCTCCTCCCCCATCTTTTTGCAGGCAGTACACAAGAAGTGGCCTTGAAGATGGTTTGACCAACAGACAGTGGATAAGTTTAGAGGCTGTTGGGTATTACTGATAAGTTGGGTTTTCTTAAAAAATTAAATTGTACATAAAGTGTATATAAATATTGTACATTCCAATGGTATCCCTCTCCCCTAAGCTTTCCTGCCTGTTCTGATTCCATTCATAAATAAAGTGTGATAGCAACTGTACAGTACCTTTCCTTCTACTTTATAGCAGTTTTCAGAATTACACATTTTGATGTTTTTGCCATCTATTCCCTGGAAGACGTACAAAATATCTCTTACAAGGTTTGCTTCAGTTATTTCAACATTGCCTAAAAAAAAGAGAACATTGGTTAAGACTGTTTAGATTTGTAAGGTTTCAGAGTAGCAGCCGTGTTAGTCTGTATCCGTAAAAAGAAAAGGAGTACTTGTGGCACCTTAGAGACTAACAAATTTATTAGAGCATAAGCTTTCGTGAACTAAAGCTCACTTCATCGGATGCATACTGATGAAGTGAGCTGTAGCTCACGAAAGCTTATGCTCTAATAAATTTGTTAGATTTGTAAGGATACTTAGATTATTCTTTTTAAAAGTTACGTAGAAGTTGAATTGAAAAACAAAAAGACTACCTTCCATTTATTTTAATTTTTCAATGATGAAATTGTCCTGAGGAGGCACAAAGAAAGCCATATGCCTATACCTGAAAACATACCAAAGCAGTTCAGCCACCAGATGTGTGCACTCTAAACTTAGCACAACATTCCAGAGACTATGAAAGGAACAGACAGCCTTTAAGGTCAACTCCATTTTGATCTTACCATAAGTGAAAGTAGCCCTGAATAATTCCTTGTCCTTTCTTGACAGCACAGTTGAAATTTGTTTGTTGTTTCAGAGTTAATTTTTTAATAGTCTCCTTTGGAGACAATACAGCTCATCCATGAAGGAGATCTGCTTATTAAAAAAATGTTTCTTGTGAAATCAGGATATTTTTCTCATATTTAAAAATTACTCCAGTGTTGGATGCTGGGAGATCACTCAAACTTTGTCACTTTACAGCCTTTAAATCCCAGGTAAAGTAAACACAGAGAAAAATTTAAGTTATCCTCCTATAAAAAAATCTAGCTCTTGATTCAGTAGAGCTTAAGGTGCTGGAGCATCCAATTTGTCCTCTAGTTCACAGCTCTGATTGAAGTCCAGACTGCTTTTGTGCCTCAGGCTAGTTATCAATTTACAGAAGGCAATTCAAGATAGCGAGCAGCTTGTCTTCATTTGCTGGTCTTACAGTATCCTGTACTTTTGTGACCCTATTTGAGGCTAAGAACAAAGCCATTTCAGTCTTGATGATGTTCTCAGTATCATCTACAGATTCTGTCCTAATAGGACGCTGCCTCTTCTGGAATTGGCAAGAGAGCTGTCCTGATTTGGGAACCCCAATGAGTTCCTTTACCATCTCCCCCAATTTTTGTAATAAGACACAGGTGTGCTGGTTTAGGCTAAGGAAGCCAGCTGGGTCATCTAAGGATACAATCTACAGAAGTCAAGAGAGGCTGGCTTCATATCAACATCCAGAACCTGTGCTATAAGACTTATTTAAGTGTAGCAAGGTTTTCTGAACACCTCACAGACAAATAAAGCTAGTCTATGTTATGCTTTAAAAACACTCCCATCAGCTAAGAGGGTACAAATTCTCAAACATAGCTGAAAAGTATTACCTGAACAAGTTTATTTCACAACAGAGAAAATAAAAGGTTCTCCAAAGTCACTGTATCTGCAGATCCATATGAACTTTCTCTTCCTTTCTCCCTTCTTCAGAAAGTCAATAGTCTGGAGGAAGGAGAGAGGAACTGAGGGCATATGACAGTGTGGTGGGGGATCCTGTTATAGATTCAGCTCAAATGGGGGTGCACTCTTACATCTAGCATTTCAGCTGTTAGACAGCTCTAGAACAGGTTCACAACTCCTGAACTGCGCATTTACAGAGGCAATATCAGAGAATGCCAATTAACAGTAATCAGCCTATTTACAGAGCTCTGTAATTATCTGTATGTTTTGTAAATTTCAATAGCTGCCTGTTCTTATATTTGGAATGTGGTTTTACTCCAAAAAGTGACTGACAATTTATACAAGGAACAAATTATATTAAGTGTACATGAAGAGTCCTGCCTGCTGATACACTGAGAAAAATAAGTTTTTACTACTTTTTAATCGTATTAGCATTGAAAAGCTAGCATGGACCATAAGAGACTGGGCTAAATTATATATTTCCTCTTGTGCATTCACAGTATTGTTAATCAGATTCTAATTGCAAGGCCAAAATTCTCTCTTCAGTTACAAACGTACACTCCATTTGGTCTATTCTTTTTTTCCTAGCCACAATACACAACTGGAATAACTCAGCTTGATTTTCAAATCCAGGATACATTTTGCAGGGTTGGCAGCTAGGAGATCTTTTATTTGCTAACTGACCGAATTTATTCAGGAAGCAGTCGAAAAAAAATGGCATTGTGAGGCACCTTGTCTCTTTTTAGTCACTGTTCAGCGTTGATCTTGTTAATACGAGAATGGGAGAGGTTTCTGAATACAAGTAGATGGAAGGTTAACTTTCCTCAACAGCTCCTCCACAGTTGAGTTAGCTACTTAAATTGGCCAAATGCTTTGTTCAGTTAATGTAAAACCAAGAGTGGCTCCTTCAAAGTCTATTCAGTCTTATATATGTGAATATAAATAGTTCTATATGTTTTGGGGTTTTGTCCCCCTTGTTGTCCATTTCCCCTGAGGCTTTTGGTTATCATTATAGACACTGCAGCTTTTAAAAGCATATTCATTCACAATCCATCTGCTCTGCTACTTGGTCCTGCTGTCCACAGCAATGGATTAGGTCTATGATACTTGCAATATCAAAGAAAAGAGGAATTTTGAATGGGGAGAATGTGTACTCAAACCATTTTTTTCCACCCCACAATAGGAACAGAGGAACATAGAAAAGTTAATGGTCAAATAAACTGCTCTTTTGTATATGTGCTGTCTTCCTACCTTCAAATCTGCCCTTGTGGGAAAGTTCTCCACATATAGTAACACGCAATGGAACAGAAGCTATTCCCAGGAAGAGTATAGAATAGTCACAACAAAACAAGAAAACAAAGAAGTTGCAGAAAAAAAAAAAAAACTTTAGCAAAAAGCATCTTGCTCACCACTTGTCTCCCCTTCTCGCCGTGACCTTGGCACATTGCGAGAGACAGTGTTTGGAAGGCCTTTTGAGGTAGAGCTTTGTAACGAAGGCTGGCCAGCAGTTAGAGCCCATGCAAGACGTGAACCCAGCTGTTGACGAAGGCAATCTCCCACCCCTGGAGCTTGATAGGATTGTCTAAAAAGACAGGAAGAAAACAATGTTAACAGGACAGTGTATGAAGTCTGCACAACTGCTGCCTCTATCATAGCTGTTCTGCAGATAAACCGAGGACTTCATCATCCAAGACTGCAAGGCACGTAAACTTCACAGGCACCAAGTTGAAACAGAGTGTAATGCAAAAGAGTGACATGAAGATATTCACTAACAGGAATTGTGAACAAGTTAACCATATATCCCCTCTATTCCTTCATTCAGCCATGTAGTCGATAAACATACTTAAACCCATAACAATATTTTGAGGTTTGCTGCTGTGAAAATGTATGTGGATACCCATACTGAACGTGCTTATCACTGTAAGAAATTTGAAATCACTGGATAAAAATGCTAAGTAATATTAAAAATATTTATCGAAGTCTTCACTATAGGGAAGATTTAAATTACCCTGGAAGGAGGGACTGTGGAGTTGGCGTTGGCCCATTCAGGGCATACATGCTTATGCTGCTGATCCCACTGCTCGCCATACTGCCCACACTCTGGGCAGACTGAGCATTGCGGTCCTGGTAATTCAATGGAAGGCTTTGAGGCCTGGCATAGTAGTAAGGGGTTGAGTGAGCATCTCGCGGCAATGCTTGAGCAAACAATGTGGCATAACTTGACACCTTAAAGACAAAACACAAATTGAGAGTTACTTTAATCAATCACATCAGTAGCTAAAATATTTTTTCTCCAACCGTGTGTCTGAACGGCTATTGCCTTTCCTAATAGTAAATTAAAGTCAGGTATATACTAGAAAAGGTTTGCTGGTATAGTTATATCAACAAAACCCTCTTAATGAAGAGGCAGCTTATACCAGCCAAAGAATGCATTTGGCAGCATTGTTCATTTCACTTTCCAAACTGGTATATACCATCCCAGCAAAAGCACATTTTTGCCAGTATAACTGCAACTACACTAGGACATTTGCTCCTAGCAAAGTGTTGCCAAAACACCATACCCCCAACCAAAATTGCTATACCAGCAAAAACAAAACACACAAACGTTCAGTATGGACTTGACCTAAGTTAAATCTATCCAAAGTGTTCCAGATAATGACTACCTTGCATGTTTAATTATTCAGTTTTATGCTTAAAGAGAATAGCTTCTTTAATTCTCATAGTTAGAATATTTACACAAAATACATTTTTAAAAGCATCCTTATAATTAAAAATTTCTTGCTTCCAGCCTTTCCAAGGACTTTGCAGATACTTTCCTTTTTGAAGATATTTGTTTTAGTCTGGATATTAACATCTCTTAACATTCCCATTTGGGATTTGTACTGAATTTTAAATATTTATGGAAGAAACAAAGAACCCCTTACCTACCTTGTTAGACTGCTTACGTGGGTCTTCACTAAGGCTGAGCAGGAGGTAGAGTATTGACCATTTGTTTTTCAGGACACCCTATTCAGAAATAGGCATGTATTAGATAATATCCAGTTAAAAACAGACATTGCTCCACAGTTATTGCCAGAGTTTATTGCATTTTTACCCCTACCTCGCAACCTAGATCATAAGCAACTCATTTCTATGTTGTAGTTGTAAAGAGCAGGCTAAAACTTTAACAAAACAAAACTACACATAAACATAATTTAAATATACACAGGGAGGATGTCTGAAGTCATGTTCTCAAGGTAGAGACACTGGAGTTTATATGTCAGTTCTATAAAGAAAACTTCCTCCAGCATTCAACTTTATTGTGTCAAATTCTCACATGCACTGAAAGAGGTCAACTAATCAGCACACCAAATTTTAAAATTCATAGCTAACTATAAAGGAAGTTTACATACTGCTTCATGTACGCCATACATCAGTTTCTCTTTGATCTAAATCAGCATCTTGGATTAACCCCTACTTTCTACAATAGAAATGAGGTGGAAGACCCAATCCCAACCTCTGAGAAATTTAACAAATAGCTGCCCTTTCTCTGCTGATCGCCCTTCAAGGAGGCTCCAGAATAAGAGGGATCGAACCTGGGATTTCTATAATCTCCATAAAGAACACAGAGACAAAGGAAACTACCAAACAATTTATGAAGTCAGAGGCACAGAGATCACATAGCTGTACTCAACTGTGGACTGTCCCAGAACAAAAATCAAGAGAAAGGAAAAGTGGAGCGGTGTAGGCTGCTATCTTGAAACACAGCACTATCAACCTTTTAAATCTCAATAGGAAAGTTGAACTGCAGGAGATAACTTAATGGTACATCCGTGTTAGATGAATTCCAATGTCACCTTGTAAGGAGTAATAAAGACAATTGTATAAAGATGTCCTTGTTTTTGCTGCACATTAATACACTTGGAACCATATACTCTATTCTACACCACTAACTCAAAAATATAAGGGAATATGGTGGCTGACCACTTTCAAATGAGTTGATGATGTATCACTTCATGGGGAATCAGTTGCAGAGTTGAGGAGAATGAGATTCCACAGAATTTTCCAAAAAACTGATTTTTTTTCCCCTTCTAAATTTCATTTGTCTAAATTCTGTACCAGTGCAACCTTACCAAATCAGGAAATTCAACTGTATGTATGAAATCTTTACAATTTAGGTTTTGCACTTAACTCTAGTAATTTGACTAAAACCGAAGTGTTACAATCATGAACATTTTGACAGGTTTCAGAGTAACAGCCGTGTTAGTCTGTATTCGCAAAAAGAGCCACAAGTACTCCTTTTCTTTTTATCATGAAAATGGAGACTATTGTGTTCCATGCACTTCTACCTTTCCTTTTCCATATCTTCAATAGAGTCAATAGAAAGGCCCTTAACTTTAATTAAATTAAATATGTCAGCAGTTTCCAACATCCGTCTCTGTGTAGACTACACAGAGATAGATGATCCAAGTGAAATCATATGTCCAATTGCTAGATTTCTATGGTCATTGACTCTTTGTCTTGCATCTTCTGAGACATTTTATAATGAAGAATCCCTAGATAATTTTGTTAAAGGTCACTTTCTAGAACAGTCTTCTTTAATTAGAGGCTGGCAGGCCAGATCTGGCCGCATGGGGCCTTCGCTTGGCCCGCTGGACATCAACTATGCCGCTGGGGGCTCCACTGCAAGGACGGTCCCACTACCCAGTTCCAGTTCACCCCAGGCTTCCAGCATCTCTGGCCCCTGTGCCACCCTGCCAGTCCAAGCTGCAGCATCCCCATGCTGGCCCACCCTCTAAGCGCCCCCACACTCCCCACCTGACCAGCACCTGCCAGCTCAAAGGATGCTCTAAAGCAGTGTAGGAAAAGGGGCCTCTTGGAGTGGAGCACAGGGGCCCGAGCCGCCAGGAGCGAACTGGGTGTTAGAGAGCTTATTCCTTCACTCTCCCACTTCCCTGGTCCTTCTCGCATGAACAGAGAGCAACAATACCCGAAGTCCGAAGGTGCAAACAATTCGATGTTTATTGGGGTGAACTTCCAGCAAGCTTAAATACAAGTTCCTTTTTCCTTATTTTCGAATCCCAACTTGCTTCCTGTTTGCCCCTAATTTATATAGTAATACTCTTAGCTATACCTTAACCAATCATTCTACTGAAATTTAACTAACCAATCCTAACATATTGTAACATGATTAGCTAACCAATTATATCCCACCACCTTAATTAGTTTACACCCAGCAAAATTAATTATACAGCAGACAGAAACAATCACAGAACCAGACAGATTATACAGACAAACAATAGCAAAGTGGGAACTATAATGACAAAACAATACAGAAGTGAGGATTTCACATCCCAGCTATTGATAAGTGAGTTCTTGCCAGACAGGATGCTATCAAACTAAGTTTCCTTTTACATTTTCTAGGCACTTCCCTTTCTCTGGAGGTGATAGGAATACAATCCTGTCCTGATAGTGCCTGACAGCCCAATAGCACCTTATTTCAATGTGACTAGTTTGGAATGTGAGGATGTGACTGTTCGCTTCCTAGCTTATGGCTGCCTCTGCTGCTTAGCCAAAGGCCTTAGCCTAAGAACAGGGCCTCAAACTGTCACAGTAAGAGAAGGCCCTTACACCAGCAGACAGTGATTTTGATTCTCTCTTTTATACCTCTAGAACTAGCCAAGATAAGAATACCCCTAAATTCTTAAAGTACAGGCCTTTGCAGACAGGCCTGAATATCTATATCCTAACACTGGGTAGTGGGGTCACCCTCACAATAGAGCCCCCAGTGGGGACAGGATGGAACAGGTGACACCCAGAAGGACCTAGCGAAGTCAGTACAAACTAAAATTTCATACAAACAATGACTTGTTTATACTGCTCTATATACTACGCACTGAAATATAAGTACAATATTTATATTCCAGTGATTTATTTTATAATTATATGGTAAAAATGAGAAAAGCAAGCAATTTTTCAGTAATAGTATTTTTAGGTCAGATTTTGTTACCCTCTAGGTGCTTACAAATTGATTGTTTAATAATTTGTTCCAGCAACTTACAGGTACTGAATTTAGGCTAACTGGCCTATAAATTCCTTGGGTCCTCTTTGATCCCCTTTTTAAAAGATAAGTATTTATATATACAGCAGGGGTGGCCAAACTTACTGGCCCTCCGAGCCACATACAACAATTTTCAGAAGTTCAAGTGCCGAAGCACACCTGCCAAGAGCCAGGGCTCAGGGCTTCAGCCTCGCTCCTGCTGAAGCCCCAAACCCTCGCAGGTGTGCCCCGCAGGGCTGAACCCCCGAGACCCTCCTCCCCACTGGAGAGAAGCTCCTGCCCACCACCCCACTGCAAAGCAGAAGTCCTGAGCTTCCCCCCGACTCAGTCTGGTAGCGGAGAATGGGGAGTGTGGAGGGGGTTTGCGAGCCGCACTTGAATGGTAAAAGAGCCACATGTGGCTCGCAAGCTACAGTTTGGCTACCCCTGATATATACCCCTTTCCTGTATTATCATAGCACCTAGAAGCCCTAGTCAGGGACTTCGACCACTGTGCCACGTGCTGTAAAAAACAAAATGTATGTTAGAAGTCCTCATAGGTCAGATGACGACTCCTTTCTGCGATTAGTTCAGATATTCAGCAAACTGGGCAGGGCATCCAAATTCTACCTGCTGGAAACAACTGAACCAGCAAAGACCTCATTAACAAAGGGGAAGCAGGAGGAAGAAGAATTACATAAGGTTTTGATGTATGGGCTAACCATGATGTGATAAATCTTAATGTCAACTGATGAACAACAGATATAGCTTGTTGGATTAGATATATCCCACTAAATACATATGAACTGGCCTCGTGAGCCCAGGGAAGGGAGATGGAATTCACAAGTACTAAGCAGCTTTCACTTTAAAAGGTTACACACTGAAGGAATCTAAGAAAAGTAATTACTACACTTTTGAAATAGATAGTTTCCAAGACTGTTGCAAAAAAAGTTAATCATAAAACACATATCTACACCATCACCACCAACATATAAATGTGGAGGGAAAGGATTTCCATGGCTAATACTACACTTAACAGCACAAAAAAAATATTTCTATGGAATCAGTTGTGTACCTACTGTAAGCAGGGGAATGGTCCTGCTATTGTGGGGAACTTTCCTGGCTTCTGCACTAGCCCAGTGGAATCAGACAGCAAAAGGATCTGAGTCCCTTGCTCCAACTCCCTTTACCCAGACGCCTGCCTGACCTTGAGGACTTCCCTTTCCCTCTCCTGTGAGGGAGAGTCCTTGTAACCCTGATAATGTTGGATCCAGGATTCCTGAGAGGCTATGCCCCCAGTCTCATCATGGTCACTTAGGACAGGGGCTAAGATGTCCCCACCTCAGGGTACTCCCTCCACACCAGCCACTTCCCTGGCCCAGTGAGCACTACATTAAGTTCAAACCAAATACAATTTATCGAACAGCAAGAAACACTAAGAAAAATAAGGAAAAAAAATCAGAAAGATTAAAGGAAACAAGTAACCCCACCCTGTGGGCAGAGGGAAACCACAAACAGCAGTCTCTGGAACATAAGAAAAGTTCACAGTCTATTCCTCACATGTCCCAGGCCTCCTTCCCAGGCCCTGGCTGCACTGTAGTGATACCACGTAGTGATACCACGGGTCAGACATGCTCTGGTGGCGGCCACATGCCCTCACTCTCTCCCCAACGCCAGCCCTCCTTCCAATTAGGGTCACGACCCCACTCCAAGTCCAACCTGCAAGACTTTGTCTGGCCATGTGTCCCAGCGCTGGGCCCTCGCTCGCCCCAGCTGCTCACAGCACTCAACACCAGTGCTACTTACGGCACAGCACGCATACACTCCCCAGCTCTGGGCCCGCAGATTCCCGCTGTAGCTCAGACGTGGCTGCTCTGCGCTGCTCAGCCTCCAGCCCAGCTCTGCTTTCTGGGCTGCTTCTCTGGCCCCCTCTGCTCTGCCTCCAGCTCAGCTCAGTTTGCTGCTCTCCCCTTAGATCTATGCTACTCTGGCTCAGGCAGCTCCAGCTCACATGGAGGATGAGACCCCAGGCTCCTGACTCCCTCACTGGCCTACCTGCCTTGTCAATCAGGTTAACCTGGACTGTTGGCCTCTCCCCATGGGCCCTGGGGCCTGTCAGTCTCAGGATCTTGATCTCTCATTGGCCCTTCCCCTTTTTTTTGGAACTGGGAGATGGACAACCAAATAAATCCCACTAAGTTCCAGCAAGGGACCAACAGTCCCCTTACACTACTATTAGCATTCAGAAATCACAATGTGTGCACTTTTCAAAAACAGAAAAAATAAATCACTAGCGCTTAAACACTACAATGACAGGCATTTAAGAGAGACTGCTATAGGGAAACGGGGAGGAGCGGAAAAAGTTCTAAACAATGCCCTATGAAATAGTTATCGGCTTGCTCTGGTAGATGTCAACTAACAATACGGTGGGGGGAACAGAAGGTTAAAGCCAGCTTAAAAGTTTAACTAGGTTATAGTCACATTCTTGTAATTATGCTCACATCGTCTATTATTCTGCTTCAAGCAATGTATGTATTGCTTGTGTGTGTTATAATGGGTTAAATTTTGGTCATTCTCATATGCTGTGTGTCCATACTACTCTTGCCAAATGCTAGCTATGATAATACCACATTAGATCAATAGCAAAGCATGAGAGTGTGTGTGTATTTTACACATATAAAAGCTATCTTAAAAGAACAAGGTAGCAAGACTGCTGACAGTAGGACTGAGGACAGCTGCAAGTTAGTGCTGCTGAAATGGAAGAGCTGATGATGGAGCCTACTGCAACCTGGTGATACTGTCCATCACTACAGAAGCTGGAAAAGATATCTTGTAGACATGTGGAATGCATGGGGAAGAGAAAAAGGAGTAAAGGTGAGCTGATAAACTTAGCAACAACATTGGTATTTTCAGGATTAGGGCCTTATTTTTCTAAAGCATATGCGTAACTTTAATGACTTCTTAAAATTGAGTACTGTTTGCAGGATTGGGACCTAAATGCAACAGTCAGATTGACTGAATGGGTCTCATTTGCAATGAGACAGGTATTACCCACCAATGGCCCACAGAGTCTAGTATTTTTTCTGACAATGGCCAGTACCAGATGCTTCACAAAAAAGTGCAAAAAGTCCTGGAGTGAGCAGCTGCGGAATAACCTGCACACACGGAAAGTTTCTTCCTAACCCACTAAAGTCAGAGACTGACTTACACCCAGAAGCATGAGGGTTTATATTCCTTCCAAACTACTGTATGGAATTTTTGTTCTTTCTGAATGGAACACTGGATGTTCTCCATATAAGTGTCCCATTTTTACGTGATCTTACTAAGCTCTTTTTTCTCAATTATATTAGCCTATAGAAATCATTGTCACAATATAAAGTTCCTTAGTAGAACCATTTTTTTATCCTACTTAACTCAAGTTACTTTTCCCCTTTAAGATAAGGGGTGGTCACTGAAACATGTTAACAATCCTCTATTACAGTGGTTTTCAACTTGTGGTCCTCAGACCTCTGGGGTCCCACAAATTATGTCTAAGGTGTCCGCAAAAGTTGACGATGAAAACAAAATTTCAGATCCCAGAACAGGCATTCCGTTTTTCTGATCAACCAAAAATATGTGAATACCCCCACCTACAGGTCAAAACCCAGAAGTGTTATTATCATAGTAGCCCACAGTTTAGCGCCCTTTCTCATGCTGCGTTAAATGCCATGACAAGCATGTGCAACATTTATAGTTGAATTCTGTTAAGTCAGTTTTCAGTCTAAGACTTCTATGGTAGGGGTCGACAGACCACAGGTTAAATTTCCAAAGGGGTCTGCACCTCAATTCAAAATTTTTTAGGAATCCGCAAATAAAAAAAAGGTTGAAAAGCACTGATCAACTACACTGGAAATTTTAATCCTGCATATTAGTTTTTGACAACTAAAAATATCCCTATAATATTTCTCCCTATCACACTATACAAAACAGATGACTTAAGATACTGTCTTACTGGCTATCTCAGTTTCACTGAGATTTTCATCAAACATGACAGATGTTCAAGTTTGAGAATTCAGGACACATTTAAAGTATTGATTTCTTTCCATCTCATCTAAAGTTCTAGCCTAAGACTTTCCTTTCTTCTGATACATAGACTCTAAAGATCACCTTCTATTGTCAGAAAAGACCGACATACACTGCTCTTTGGTAAGTGCTTGTGTGTTAGCAGAACTCTCAAAGTCAGCAAAACCCTTAACCTTCAACATGAAAACCTCAGATCACTTAAATACTCAAAATAAGAGGACTGCTTAACTTCTAATCAATACATCGATACACTTCAGGACACATTATCCTAAAAATAAGTGGCAGTGAGATAATCCTTCAATTTTACACATAAAAAAGTAAACACTTCTATTTTTGCAAAGCTACTTCCTTCCCATAAAATGTCCTTTATGCAGTAATACGCAAACCAAAAGACTGCTGATATTTTTTGATTTTATTTTAATCCAAGCTAGTTTCTTACATTTTGAACTATAGGCAATTTAACAGCAAGTCCAGAAGGAACACATTGTAAGACTGAAATTATTGGTAAAGCCACACATTACTATACCTGCGAATGGAGTTTTCTGTAAAGTTCTGAAAACAAAGCAGCATCCGCTTCCCTTCTTTGTCGCACAACTGTTAAGAGGAAAATGCTTCTTAGGGTATGAAACTAAAGAAGTCAATTATAGCAACAACATTATTTTGTATTGATACATTTGTGCAATTTGTGGGGTGGGACGAAAGCAAGAGGATAAAGAGACAGTTCACTTTCCATACACATGCACTCCTTGGCCTCCAAGGGTACATCTACAGAATAATCAAACACCTGCAGCTGGCCCAGACTCCAGCCTGAGCCCAAACATCTACACACCAATTTTTAGCTCCACAGCCCAAGCCCAGATCAGCTGATCCTGGACAGCAGTGTCCATGCCGCTGGTCTTTTATTCCAGTGAAGACATATCCCCAGACTGCAGGCAAAGGTCCTAAGAGTTATTCTACTTTTTTCTGCAAAATGGCATCTAGCAAAGATCATCTATTCACTTCACAATCACTATACAGGTGTTAAATGACAATGACTTCAGGTCCATACCAGTTGGGCCATAAGTAAGCAAGCCACTGACAGAGATAAAGTTGTATTCCATTACAATTCTGAGGTGTTATAGCTCTTCCTGATGATCTAAAACATTCTACTAATAAATACAGGTAAGGACTCGCCTATACAGTAACTCCTCATGTAACATCCTGGTTATGTTATTGAAAAATGCAACTTTAAGCAAAACGATGTTAAGTGAATCCAATTTCCCCGTAAGAATTAATGGGAATATAGGGGGTTAGATTCCAGTGAAATGTTTTTCGCTAGACAAAAGACATTATATACATATACAATTTAAAATTAATTTAAAATTTACACAAACAATTTAATACTGTATTCACCAATGATGACTGTGAAGCTTTGTTGAGGCAGGGGCATACCAGGGTCAGGGCACAGGGGCTTGCCCCACTCTACCGGGCATTCCAGCTGTGGAGAGGGGTCAGGATGCGGGGGCTTGTCCCATTCCGACCACCTGGCACTCTTTCTTGGGAACAGGGTGGGGGTTGCCTGCTCCCCGGCTGGAAAGCTGGGTGGGCAGAATGGGGGAAGCCCCTGTGCCCCCACCCCGCTCCCCAGCAGGAGCACTGGGCGGGCAGAACGGAGCAAGCCCCTGTGGCCCGACCCTGCTCCCTGGCTGGAACGCCCGGCAGGCAGAGCCGGGGGTGGGGGCCAAACAACGTTATAAGGGAACATTGCAGGACTTTAAAAGAGTATGTTCTCTAATGGGTCAGCAACCTAATAACGAAACAACATTAACCAGGACGACGTTAAGAGAGGAGTTACTGTACTGTACTCCAGAAAATATTAAGTAAACACACAAGTTAAAACCGCATGTGGATGTTTTTATTCAAGAGTAAGGTGGTCTTAGCATGCACTGACTTTGCACCTTTAGTTGAGTCACCTTAACTTTCCTGAATGTTCCTATATAGACCTGGCCTCACATTTATGACTTATATGTCTCCACTTCGAAGTGTCTTAATTTTTTTTTTTTATATCAATTGCCTAAGTATGAGATTCACAAAAGCCAGTAAGCTGAGTAGGGAGCTGCCTAAGCTAGCCAGTAGGAAGTGCTGGGGAAAAGGTGGTGGTTGTCCGTTTATACTCTATAGCCCACTGGTTAGCACACACTGAGTTCAAATCCCCACTCTGCCTGATGTCCTTATGTGAAGCAGGGACTTGAACCCAGGTCTTTCATATCCCAGATGAATGCCCAAACCCCTGGTCCAGTGGGCATTCTGGGAGGAGAGTGAGTCAGTCACACTCAAAGCTTTTTTACTTTTTAAATAATCAATCATTGGAGCAGGGACTGGAATTTGGGTGTCCAGCATGAGTTCACTGATCAGTGGGTTACAGTCACTCATTCGGTCTCTGGTCCAATAAATATTTAAATATTTTATACGAAGTGGAACAGCTTCATACGGAGGGTTGGACAGACCCACCCCCCGCGCAGAATATCCAATACCCCAATAGTTAGGGTGCTTATCTGGGATGAAGGAGACATGGGTTCAAGTCTACACCTGGCAGAGAGGTATTTGGAACCACCATCTCTACATCCTGGGTAAGTGTTCTCACCTCTGGGCTATTGGGTATAAAGGGGGTGATATGGGAGAGAGAACTACATCACCACCAGTTCTGTGCTGTGTGTGGAGGTTGATCCAGTTGGCAGCCTCTGAGCATCCTTTTGGATCAGGCCCTGGAGGCAGGAGGATGTGGGAAGGCCTAGTTTGAGGCAGCGACCAGGATTTAGGCACAAGTTAGACACTGAGCAGTTCAGTACTGTCAGAACTTAGACAACTTTGTGCATGCCCACCAACAGAAATTTAGATGAGTAATGGGATTTTCATAGAATATAGAATATCAGGGCTGGAATGGACCTCAGGAGGTCATCTAGTCCAACCCACTGCTCAAAGCAGGACCAATCCCCAACTAAATCATCCCAGCCAGAGCTCTGTCAAGCCTGACCTTAAAAACCTCTAAGGAAGGAGATTCTACCACCTCCCTAGGTAACGCATTCCAGTGTCTATGATTCTATGAAAAGCAAAATAATCATTCCCATTCTACATATGAGAAAAGTAAGGCACAGAGAAGTAAAGTGATTTGCATAGGTGGAAATAGTTTGGCATAGTACTTCAATACATCAGAAGAATGTACCTTAGTCTCAGTCATCTAACTAGTTAAACAGGAAAGCTTTCTCCAGGAAATTGGAGTTTTGTCTTAAGCTTTAAAGTGGTCATTTGAAAGAGCAAGAGCACATTACAGTAAAAATAGTCAGACTCCAAATCAAGCAATAATCTACAGAAACCTTTACAGAATAATAAAAATAAAAATGTGTCAAACACTCTACACGCCAGTATTAAGAGCTACCGATAAAGACATTTTTGCAACTAAAGTCACTTCCTGCACCACAATTCTTAAGTGAGAGTTAATACGAAGGATATAACCCACTATTTCTTTTCATGAGGGCTCACTCAACCCACAAAATCAGGGGAGGGGGACAAGGTGGGGAGAAATGGAAAGAGTAAGTTTCGACACCAAGAGTTTATAATCTACTGCATAATCAGGTGTGTATGCTGCATTATGTAACGATGACCAAACTACATAGAAAACCTTCAGTGCTGAAGGTCCATATTGAAGAATATTTGTGCTTTGAAAATTTGAGTTGGAGAATTCTGAAATTCTTCTTTGGAGAAGGCAATATGAACTCTAACCAAGATATTCTTTAAGAGGAGTTCTAACTGATGATGTATGTTAATCCTGATCCAATATAATAGGTTTACGCTTAATAGCTCTGAATATCTACCAACTGGGAGGTTTACATGTAATTAAAATATTCCCTCACACAACTTGCTCACACATTTTACTATGAACTCAAGAATCTGTAGAGAGCAAGTACGCTTTTTTTTTTTTTTTGCAGAGGGATGTACTGCATCCCTACTGCTTTCATACTACATTTGGTGCTCTTGTATCAAAGCACAGAAAGTGCAATAGAACAGAGTATATCTAATTTTGTAGTTAAAAAGAGTGTATTTTGTATCTGAGGTGTGTGTGTGAGTAAGTAAGTAAGTAAAACTCACTTTGGCATTTCCTGACTTTAAAAATTGCATGTTAAGAGTCAAATTTAAGGTTTATGGTGAACAAGTTTCACCCTTATTACTTATAGAACTAGTTTCTGGTATTTGGAGTGGTATTTTAAAACACACTTTGAAAATTGTTACAATTTTCACCCCTCAAAACATGATTCATTTAAAATTATTCAGATCTAAATTACTGAAGATGAAAGGAAGCCAGACATACGTTCTTTCTTGATTTTCTCCGCAACAAGAAATTCATCTCTTTCAACAGTAGGAGCAAAGTTGCTTCCAATAACTCTCACTGCATATTGAAACTGCTGGGCTACATCAGCTGAAAGAGGGAGGGGGAAAAAAAATTAGTTAAGCCAACTTTTAAAATGAAGAAAAAATAAATAAGAGCTGCCACGTTACTAAGTGATTAAGTCAAATAAAAATGCAAAAAATGCAGACGTTTCAGATGAGAGATCAAATATGATAGTGACTAGATCAAATCTTTCCCCTAATACTACCTTGCACTGATATTTTGTCCTGTAAGCTCTTATGCAGAAACAGTCAGGCACTTTAAGAACACAAATCCAATCATGGAAGTAAACTACAACTTAAAAGTGCTGGCACCTCCTTCTGTCAGCATATTTCTTAGCATCTTGCTTCATGCGGCAAACATCAGTACTACCTACAAACATGAACAGTTCAGTCAATAACATGTCTTTAGTATGGGTCAATATTCACACAAACACAAAAATGAGGGGGCATAATCTCCTTTCTCCTCCCCAGTCTAAGCATTCTTCAAGTCTGAATTCCAGGCTCCCCAAGAGCAGATTTGAATCAAACTGGAGATTTACTGAAGTCAAACTACAGAATTCCATGGTAATAACATAACATACTGATTAGTAAAACTGCAAGAGATCTGCTTTAACTCTCACACCATGTTTATTCATTAGTTTTGACAAATCAATTAAACCTACTTAATTTTGGTAGGGTGAAAAAGTATCTTTCAGTTTCTTAAACTGTTATGTGCAAGGACCAAGTACTTTACCCCAGTAACTTTCTACCAAAAAAATTAAAAGTACGCCTCCAGTTCAATTTAAAACCTACAAAATCCAACTAGTCAGCAATCAATTTCATTATGATCACAATAAACTTATCATATGCTTATTTTAGGAATAAATTTAATAGTGGAGGCACTTAAGTATAGCAGCATGCTAATCAAATGGCAGATAAGGGCAAGGCGTAGAAAAGCCACTAAACAAAGACTGAGCTCATCTCAAATTGGCAATGGAAGACAATGAACCAGAGCAATTAACGATCAGCATCTCTGAATGCTAGATGTTGATCAAGGTTAAACAAACACTAACAAAGGAAGAAGCAGCTTAATCCTCAATTTTTCCACCCACAAGAAGCAACCCAGAAGCGGGTACCATCCGAGTTGCAGAAAGGAAAAACCCAGCAAAATTCCACAGGCACTAGGATTCAGCTTAAGGGAGGAAGACTACATTCTCCCCTCCTTCTGCCCTAGCACTACCTCTCAAATACCACTTATCCAACCCCAACCACTCTCCAAGGATCTTTGCAGCAAGCTCAAATGAGAGGGCTATAGAATTTGAGCAAGTCCTGAAATGCAATAGCTGGTGGATTTGAGGTCCCAGGTGGAAAAGTCTGACAAACTGTATTATAGAACACTGCCATCATATTATTTGAACTTTTGTGTAAGTATTCAGATATTACTAGTTGTTATGACAGGTTTGGCTCTGTATATGTGCAGAGTTACATAAAGGTCTTCACTTTATGCTTTTGCAAATATATTTGTAAGTCACAGAAGTTGAGCTACAGCCATATCTTAAAACAAAAAAAAAAATTGTTTCAAAAGCTTTTGAGGGTGTTAAAGTACTAGGTAAATCATCGCATTTTCATAAATTCAAGCACTTAAGAGCAGGTACATCAAAAATCTTCCACTGGCCATGCACATCACATTTTTACTATTATAAATAAATGCATGTTTTAATTACAATACCTTAACTCTGAAATGGTAAGTGAATGGAAAGTAAATGAATGGTAAGTGTACTACTTTGTTATCTAGAGATACTTTTAAGAGATATATGGGAGAGCAGTCAGTCAATATCTCAAAGCTTGCCTCTCTTACCAGCAGAAGTTGGTCCAATAAAAGTTGGTCCACCCACCTTCTCTCTCTAATACCCTGGGACTGACACAGCTATACCACCACTACACATCCCCCTCATTACCGGCAGTAGAACTTTTGTTACAGCACCTATTTGAGAGGGAGTTGCATATAGTCACTGTCCTAATAGACTGTATAATATGGTATGGCACCACTATGGTATGTGGACATGCATTTGAAGCTGATCAATGCAATTTCTATTTTTCAAATCTATTGCATTTATATTTTGAGTTTACCAGTAAAAATAACATTTATTTTGGTCACAGTTAATGGTGTATGTGTGTTACTATTACAAACACATTCCTTTGTAGCAAGTAAAACCGTATTGCTTTCTGTGTGTCTAAGAAATTGCTGTTATTTCAGAATTAAACATTTTGCTGTCTGTGCCCTTGAAAACTGCCTCTGCATCAGCCAATGTATGTCTACCTATGTTTCTAGTTCTGTGGTGCAATATGACTTTGCTGTGCAGATTATGGGACAAAAGACATGGAAGCAAAAGTTTCTGAACAGTTATTCTGAAATCTTATCCATATTTAATCTAACAAAATTTAAAAACAAATCCTCACCAGTGAGAGACTTAACCCTAAAAAGGATATTTTGGGTTATCCTGACTTGGAGAGACCATCTGTTTCCAAAATGATAATTCAGTCTCCTTATCCATTTAGTCCTTGCTCTCTGCTAAGACGGAATCAATGAACTTTTGGCCCCTCCTTTAATAATTCAAGACTAATCTTCAAAATTTGAGACTTTTCTTAAGATTTATATTGGACCTGCAGTTATACAATCGCTTTGAACCAAAATGGTTTACCTATCCAACCAAGATTTCAAAGTCCTTGATTTGCAAGAGACTCGCTTTCTGTGGGAGCGCTTTTGGTGTCACACTCCTGACTTCACGTACAGAACAAGTAAGATGGCATACAGAAGTCATAAGAATTAAAGATATATTTTGCAGTAAGATGTCCAATAGCAACACACACAGGAAGTTTATTACATAAGCAGATGTCCCCCATGAGACATTAGATGAACTTAAAAATAGATGTGTACACACGATACACACATTGCATAAACATGTAAACAAGTGCAACTGCTATGCAACACTGCCATCTTGATCTGCCTAATAGATGAGAAGGATGAAATTGTTTATGGAAGATGTGATTTAATTTTCAGTGTTCTGATGTGAGCTCTTTATCCAGAGGAAGCAGAAGATTCCAAATTCTAAAAATTATGAATAGAAACACAGCAGAATAATGCTATTAATTATAAGCGACTATATTTACCAAATACATAAAAAACAGTGTGAAAAGCTTGCTACATTCAGAGGAGGGGAAACAAACAAACAAAAATCAATAATTCAAGATCTATAAAATCTTAATTTGAGTTGCCTAAAGTAGATTCTTATGTTCCATCTGCAAATGCAAATTTCTGATGCTTAGTAGACAATGTCCTTTATGCATGCATCTATTCCTCCCCTCTCCCTCCACACTCTGATCTATCAGAACTGTATGATGCAGTTTTCATGTTCCATTTCAAAGCCTAAAAGAAGCTTTAAACAAAGCACATGTGAAAAGTGTAGAAAAACTAAAGAGGAAAGGAGGGAGAATCCTTAGTGGGCAAAAACAAGGAAAAATAGTAAGAAATGGTGTAATTTAAAAGGGAGGAAAATCGGAGACAAATACAAGAATTTAATTATACTGGCTAGATAATTTTTATTTCCAGATAAGCCTGATAAACTGGAGGACAGCCTTCCGGAACATTCCTTTTATTAATAAGCAACTGATCTGCTTCAGTGCACTTCCCAAAGTTAGTAATATCAGACAACTCTCTCACCTTTCAAGAGACTATAGCTATTGGAAGAGAAAGTCTTGCTTCTTATGCTGATCGATACGAGCAGTTCCAGATCGCCAGAAAAGCGGGGCAAGCCGGAACAAAACGGGTGGAGGGAGGAGAGAGAAACAACCCTGGTTGCAGTTGGAGCGGATACCAGAAGGGACACCCTCAGACCACACCCTACTACCGGGGGCAGCCCAAGACCCCAACTACACACCAAGGAATACTCCAGACACCTTATCCTGCCACACCATTCTCCAGCAACCCACCTCGCCCTAGTGACCCGTCAGCTGGACAATGTTTTAAATGTAACGAGCCGCGACATGTGACGGCCAACTGCCCCAAGAACCCCAACAGACTACAGTTCATTGCACCGGAATCACACCAGAGGTCCTCAGGCCCAGATACCTCCCAGATACCCTTGGAGTGGAGGGAAACTGCGAGTTTGGGCGGGAAGAAGGTCACCGCGAGGAGGGACACCGGAGCACAAGTGTCGGCTATCCATGCTTCCTTAGTGGACCCCAATTTAATTGACCCAGAGATCCAAGTGACAATTCAACCCTTCAAGTCCAACTCTTTCAATTTGCCTACAGACAAGTTGCCTGTCCAGTACAAGGGTTGGTCAGGAACGTGGACTTTTGCAGTCTATGATGATTATCCCATCCCCATGCTGTTGGAGGAAGACTTGGCCAATCATATGAAGCTAGCCAAGAGGGCAGGAATGGTCACCCGCAGCCAGGCTAAGCAAGCCGTCCCACCTAGCTCTGTTCTGGAAACTTCTACCAGGACCCGGTCAGAGGTGATGGACCTGGACCCCATGCCAACATCTGCATCAGCAGTAGTGGATCCAGTCCCAGAGACCCAGACAGAGCCACTCCCAGAACTGGAACTGGTGGAACAACCAGCACCAGACCCATTGCCAGTACTGAATCCAGTATTTGCAACCCCAACACCAGAGGGCCCCACTGAACCTGAACCGGCAGCAGCCGATAACCCGACACAAGAGGCTCAGCTGGAGCCTGAACCCCAACATAGTACACAAGCGGAGAGCGGTTCACAGTCAACGGAAACAGCCTCATCCCCTACATCGCTTCCAGAGGACCAAGCCTAGGTCCACAATCCCATGAGGAACTGATGTCTCCAGCATCAAGGGAACAGTTCCAGTCCGAACAGGAAGCAGATGAAAGCCTCCAGAGACTTTGGACGGCGACCCAGAGCAACCCACCGCCTCTCAGCTCTTCTAATCGATCCAGGTTTGTTGTAGAAAGAGGACTTTTATACAAGGAAACTTTCTGGTGGACACCAGGAAGACTGGAATCCTCAGGGAC